TGCTGCACCCCTGGTGTGTGAATGACGGGTGGGAAGCACCACAGGCAGGCCACAAGGTTATTGGGGTGCCAGATGTTTGTACCATTTCACAAACTGATGGAACAAACCCTGGTGCTGTGGACCCCTCTGGGCCATTTTCTCTGGAGGGTTTCCCTGCCCTGCCATGCTTTACTTTGCTGTCCTGCTCTGCCTTTGCTCTGTCTGGTATTGGCATTCATTCCCCCCAGAACAGGGCTCCTCCTTCCCAGTGGAGAGAACCTACCCCATATGCAGCATATTTGCCTCACCTGGAGAGACTTGGGATGATGCCAGGAGTTGTCCCCAGGCTCACCCCAAGCAGAAGGAGCTGTCACCTTCTTTTACACCACTCCTGGCTTGTTGCAGGTCTTTGGAGCTAATGCTACTGGGGAAGGTGTTGGGGTTTGTCTGTGGGCTCAAAAACAAGGCCAGGATGGGTTGACCCTCATACATCACCCTTGGGGAGCCCGAAGAGGTATCCAGAGTGAGGGTGTCCATGGCAAGATGCTTCTCAGGGAGCCCCAGTGTGAGTGCTGTGAAATGGCAGGGACCAACAGGAAGCACAGGAGCTGCTGGTAAAGGCAACATAATCAGTAGCTGACACACGTGAAGAAGGATTTTAAAACACCACATAGCAGACACAATCAGAATGGCTGTGCCATGCAACAGCCTTAGAAAAGAGTAGAAAAATACAGAAATATATTTTCTTCACCTGTATTAAATGCAATTAAATGCTTTATCCTGCATAAATGTATTATTTCTAGAAAATTTGGCACCTGTAATCATGGTGGGAGGTAAAGTTGGCAAGAGACCCTGAAATTTGCCACTGTGGGTTATTACACTGTACTTCTCTCTGCACAAAGGCCTCCTCAGCACGCTGGAGGTGCAGGGCCATAAAGGACCTGACCTCGTTGCTTTCTGTCCCTTGTATTTCAGCAGAGCAGCAACACCACCAGGCTGAAAGAGAAACTCAGCAGGGACAAGGCTCTCTCTGAAGTTCACAGTGCACAACACCAGGGCCACCTGGCTCTGTGTCCTGCAGAGGAACAGATGGAGTCCCCTAGTCCCCTCCATCAGCTGCAGCCCCACTCCCCCGCAGGCAGGGTCCCCACCAGGACACATTCCCCTGTGGACAAGGGGGCACTCATTGAGAGAAGGCACCTCAACACCCTTTGAGACCTCATCTCACCCTTCCAGTGGAAAGCTTTGTACCACCAATCTTGATATCTTCTGGTATTCCCAACTGGCACTTGTCAGTGAGCTGGGCTAGCCCCTAACCACCACAGCCAGGCTCTAACTGCAGTGGGGAAAGGGCACTTGGGGCTGCACTGCTAGGAGGGTGCTTTAACATCACCTTCAACTCTTCCCCAGCCTTTCCTGGGTGTTGGACAGCTCATGTGGTTGGGCAAAGCTTTTTCCTTACTCTGATTTTGAAGCTTCATTCTACAATAAGCTGCTGCAATGTGTTTATAGCAACCAGCATTTTCCCATCTCGCCATGCCCAAGTTGCTCACCCCATTCAGAACACAGAGAGAATGACAGGGTCAATGTAGTGAGAGTACTCCAAACAGCCAAGCTGTCTGCCTCGTTGTTTCCCATGGCTGTTCCCCTGGCCCCGAGGCCATGCAGAGGCAAGACCAGAGCTCCGAGGGAGAGAATGGGCTCTTCTCCCACAGCAGGAAACGTGTCCACAAACCAGGCCCACATGGCCCAGGATGGGAGCAAAGAGCACGAAGGCACGGTGTGCACAGACCCAGTGACATGTGGTGAGGTTAATTGCTCTGCTCAATTTTAGTCCATTATGCTCTGGAGTGGGAGCACACTTCACTGGGAGGGGCGAAACAATGCTGACAGATTTGTGCAAAAGAAAACCTGTTCCTTTAATCTGTTTGAAAGCTTTTGTACATCAAAGCCCTGGCCAGAAGAGCTATCATTGATATAATTGGTGTAGACAATTGTGAAGGTTTTGATAAAGACCTTTGTGGAAAACCTATTCACGGGAGCCAAGGAAGAGTCATGATTTGGGCAGCAGCTAAGAAACAAAAATCCCAAAAGCAGAGTGAAGGCTGTGCAAACATCACACAGCTCCTTACCCCACCCAGCAGAACCCTCAGCTCCCCACACGTGGTGGATGAGGGTCCAGCAGCAAAGCCCAACCAGGGTTGATAAGGATTGCCAAGGGCACCATCAAAGCCAGGGGAACAGGCCAGAGTGGGGGGAGTAGATCCCCACCACAGACACAGCCTGGGTAAGACTTCCTGAGAAAAAGGGGTGATGGCTGTGGTAAGTCCAGATCAGTTCTCACCTCTTGAAGAGAAAACCAAGCTAGGGCCATGGGCAGCTCACCACAGTGGTCCATTTGGGTTACAAATATATGCTATTATCCCAAAAACTCCTAAAAAAATGAAGATATTGGATGGAAGTCAGGAGAGAAAGTAGCAGAGAGCTGTGTCTAAATGCTCAGATAGGAAGGAAGAGGAGGTCTTCTTCTGGCACTGCTGCCTCTCACCAACTCCCAAATGACACATTAAAGAGAGAGAAGGGGGATATTTCCAAGATGGGAAAGTAAGGGAGTTAGAAATAGAGCCTAGCTAGAATGGAAATTATTTTAATTTCTAGATGAAGTGAGTAAAAAGCAACATAATGGCCAATATACAAAATAACAAATGGCACAAAAGAGGTGTGTATAAGTGCTCCTATTTTCACTTTTCACATAAAAAGAGAACAAAGGGACAGTCAATAAACCCAAGCAGCAGCACACATGCGAGGATAAGCGAAATACTGTTGTTCTAATGCACTGTGCATAATCATCCAGGGTGCTCCCTGTTCCAAAATATCACAGATGCAGAGAGACTTGCAAGAAAGGGACAGGAATGTACCTGAAAGGAAAGACCATTTGCTGTTATATTTGCTCTGTGTGAGCTACTTGAGCAGAAAGCAATAATATGGGTTTTAAGAGAGAAATTTTCACATAAACAGCAATAAATGGGAGGGGGGCAAAGATCCCCATGTGCAGATTATTCCAAAAATTGCCTTCTAAGGGATGACTCGTTCCTCCTTCCTCTGAAGTATTTGCATTAACTGTTGGCAGCAGTCAGTGACTGGAAATGACAAACCACTTCTCATCTCCTCTGGCTCCCTCCTGCAGCAGGACCAGAGCACCTTCCCACCTTCTGTGTCCCCAGCATGACCCTAAGACAGGGCTTTTGATCTTTCCTGGGGCACCAAAAGCAGCTGCTTGGGTGGGTGCTGAGTTCCAGCCTGCTTCTTCTTTCTAGTCAAGGAACATTTCACATCCTCAGCCGTATGTGACTGAGGGAGGTAAAAATAATCTTGTCATCTTTTTTCTTTTTTTTTTTCTTTTTTCATTGACGTGCAGTGATATCTCCCCTATTCATTGCTGAAATGAACCAGAATTAATCTCAGCCTACAATTCTGCCTGGTGATGGGAATGCACATATTAGTGATACACATCAGCACACCTTCCTTAAGGAGCGCTGCCACCTGGATAAATACCAGTGAAGGTCAGCAATGGGGAGGTGGGGCAGGAAATTACTTGAGAGGGCAGCCCAAATTTAAATGGAGCTGATAACTGCACAGCTGCATTTGCAGACATCTTTTCACAGCCTCCCTTATCTGAGGTAGATCAGAAACTTAGGTCTTTCTGTGCCCACAAAGTTAAAATAAAAATATTAACCTCCCTCTCTGTGAGGATGTGTCCTTATACCCAACGCAGAGCAGGAACTCTCCTTCCCCCAACTGCTGCCCACTCCCAGAGGATGGCATCCCAGTTCCCAACCTCTCCAGAGCTATGCTGCAGCACCCCCACCATAGCTTTTCCCTCCCTCCTGAACACACCTGGCACACTCTCCCACCAAAATACATCCATTACAGGCAGTGGTTCCTGTTTTCCCCTCTCTCTGCAATCCCAACCTCGTTACCCTCTGCAGGAGATGTGGTGTCTGGAAGTTGGGGGACAGAGCAGGGCACCCTCTGCTGATCCCCTCCATAACAACTTTAATGTCCCACAGCCTGGCTCCTACCCCTGGAGAAGATGTCAGTCATTCCAACATGGGGCTGATCACATCAGCTGAACATTAAGAGACCTTATTTTTTGTTGTGTGGTTTTTGTTTGGTTTTTTTTTAAGACTTTATTTGTCTAACATGCTTGACCAAAAATTACAACACTCAAGTTATGTCAAAATGATTAAATAATCTTTAAGCTTTCATACCTCAAGTACTTTAAATGATATTTTGAAGTAACAGTTGCTTTCATATCCTTTCCACATAAAAATACACAGTATTTGGAAGATACCTTAGGAAAAATTATTTTTAAGAGAATATTTTATGGTTGACATAGAAATTTTGCTGAGGCTAATAAAAGGACCTCTTCCCTTCACTTTAACATTTAAGTGCCATGAGCAAATGTAAACATTTCAGACTTTAACATACAGCCAATTTCCTGCCACATTTGTTGCAAACCACTTGAATTGTGACTAGCTAAGCCACTTTATTCTAACTACATGCTATTGTTCATCTTCCCAATGATGACAGGAGTTCATATTCGACTATGAATTTCAGTTCTTACTGATTTAGGAGCTGATCCTGAAATTTCTACACCAGTAGCTCTGACAAAAGTGGCCCCATCTGAATTAATGGCAGACTGCTCATGCATTTGCGAACCACTCACCCAAAAACCAGTTGCAGGTGTCACCAATTGTGGGTTTCGTTTTCAGGAGAAAAAGCAGCACATTAGTTTAGACACATGGTCACCCAACAGATTACAAGAAATGACAGACCTGTGACTTTTCAGGTTTTCTGGGGGTCTGGTGGCTTCTTGTGGGTCCACAGCATGAGTCAGTTACTGGGCTTGAACATCTTGGCTCCAGGCAGCACCTGGAAGAGCTGCTGCACGTGGAAAGCCAGTGAAAAGCAGAGTTTGTGCCCACCTTGCTCAGAGTTGAAGCTCACATGGCCTGCTTTTGCAACACAGGTATTTTAAATTGTTTATGTGTATAATGTACATGCAGCTGCTACGTAAAACTCACATTTACATCCATGTAACACACACAATTCTCCAATGCATGTGAGCAGGTGTGGGCTATGCACAGACCTGCAACCAACTCCAAGCTGGCAGTGCTGTGGTCTGCCCAATGTGTGTGAACAAGATTAATGTCTAGATGCTGTCAGCCCCAAATTCAGGATGTCCACATTCAGAATACAGCAGTAAAATTATCTCCATCAAGTCAAAAGGACATGCTTGTTAGTTCAAGGCAGAAATCCATTTCTTACAGGACATGTCTGAAGCCCTGGGGGTTTTTTGGTGGCTTTGTAATAAATTCTTTTGCTTCTGCCTAGGACAGGACTGAAATCCTTGCAGCTTCAATACCTCTGCAGGAGAGCTGCACAGGCAGTATCGTGGCTGTGGACCATCCCAACCAGCTCCTGGCACATCCCCTGCTTTGCCTGGTGCCAAAAGCAACACAACAGATGGGTTTGTACTGGGTTTGTGCTGGGCCTGTCTCAGCAGTGTCCATGAGTGGGCAAAGAGCAGCACCAGGTCCCCTGAGGTGACCTCTGCTCTGCACACTTTGGTGTGTACTCATTACTCAAAGCCACCCAAGAGTGAGTGCCCAAACTACACCTTGGGTTGTTGCCTTCCCCTTGCCATCTATGCTTCTCAAGGACAAAAATGATCACAATGACATTTAACCACTCCTGACCAGGGCCAAAATCAAACCAATAATCTCAACATTGGCTGCATGTTCCATGTTAGCAGGTTTTAAACCAAAGGTCCCAGTGGGTTTTTTTAAAATATCATTACTAATCAATGGGTGGGCTCTTTGCAGGTTTTTCCTCTTTCTTTTTTCATTAAATACAATCACATATCGCTTTACCGTATGAAAACACAGTTATATTTTTTTCTTCTTTTTTTTTTAAGGGAAATGTCATCCTCTTTTTTTTTTTTTTTTTTTCTTAAACAGGCAAGGCCAGGTTACAAATTCCTGAGTTTATACTGCACTTAACACAGTCTCCCTTCTTGAATGTAGAGCTGTTTACAGCATGCTGGCAATATGTACCATTTCCCTTGCCATCTGTAATGCCAGATGTAGTAAAACTTCATTTCAGTACAGTACAGTGAATTAGGGCCTCTATTGCATTGGTTTGCAATAGATGCAAAGACTTAGATCTGGAGGACTTGGAGAAATAACTTTCCTCCTGTGACTGGTCATTTGTGCACCATCTTTTATATTTGCCATGTTGATTAAGGGAAAACATCTTTACCATCATTTTTATTTTACCAAGAGCTCACTGGAAAACATCTGAAATGAGGAAATCCTAGTCTAAACACTTATGTTTAAACTGCAAACTTTCTTAAAGAAACACTCCTTTGAAAGACATCGTTCTTTTAATAAGTCCAATATACGGTATGTACAAAAGCCCCTACTAGATATATATATATAGATATATATATATATGTGTATATATATATATATACGTGGAATGCATTCACTTTTCTGTGTTCACAAACATTTTAATGGTGAAATGTTAGTCTTTAATCTGTTTCTGGCACCAAAATGTCTTTGTTCCTTGTCCACTTTTGTTACTCTAAATTTATCTGTGAAGAGCTAGCAGGGAAAAAAAGAAGGATTTTGCTTTTTTTGTTGAATGGTTCCCTATTGGGATTCTCAGCCAGCAATATAAAGTTGCTAATGTGTTGGGTACAACTTTAAATCCTCATTATAATCATGTGTTCCTTGGAGTAGGTAAGTCAATAACTATAGGTGGATTAAGTGGCTGGTAATTCACAGTGCACACAGATGCATTCACATAGGTGGTGGTTCCATCAGCCATGACACCATAACCTACAAAGGAAGAAAAATTCTGGTTACTCTCATTATCCCTTATTATCTTCTTTATTTTTTAATTACCTTTATCACACAATGATAAATGCCACATTTTTTATTACTCAGAAGGAATTTTAAAATTCTCTTTGTGCGAAACAGAAATGTTCCCTGAATCAATGCAATCTTTGTCCTACAGCAGAACTTCTTAAATTGTGTAAGAAAAGCAAAATGGGCCCTCAGGAGCTAGTGGCTATTATCTCTGGCAGCCAGCTCCCTAAACCTCCTTAGAAAGACAGATACTTTTCTCTGCACAGATTTTTCTCTTAAAACCTTTTTAGTTTTAGAAAGGTTGCTTCTGACCATTCAGGCTTGCAGCCATCAGTGCAGCAAATTTTGGGCAATTTTAATCTTCCCACTTTTCTTTCCTGCCCTGTGATGAACATCCTTCAACCAACCAATGAAAAAAAAAGCATTGCTTGACTGAGGCAAGTACGTGTGCATGTGCATTTAGGCAGGATTTGCCTAGTAGGAACCTCTTCTTGCTATGTCTTTGAACTGGTTGACCAAACCTGATAGAAAGGCACTAAAATGCCTGCCCAGGCTGAGAAAAAAATGACTTTACTATTGGATGCATTGTCTAACAGACAAGGTGAATTCACACCGTAACACATGGGAACATTTCCACAGGAGAGCACACACATCCCTGTGCCTCACCAGTGGTGAAAAAGCTCCAGCTACATCTCATGTCTGGCTAGACACCCAAGGCAAACAATTCCAGAGTGAAATCTGCAGAAAACCAAATTTCCAGCTCTAATGCCTGTAGAAGTACAGTGAAATGATGTTTCAAAGAAGAAGCCCTTTGACAGCATCGGTGTTATGAAAAAGCAGACACACTCTCCGTTGTCAAAAATCTTTTAATGAATCACTAGGAAAAAATGCAAGCTTGATTACATGAAAGTTAAAAGCTTAATGTTGAAAACTTTTACTGAAATATTATGATCAATATGAAGAAATGCATTCATCACCAGAAATACATGATTTTGGAGAAATCACCCGGTAGAAAGCATTTGTACTTCAATCTCACCTTTCATAAAGTTAATAGTGAAATGTATTCATTGCTATATACACATTGAGTTCTAGCTATTCAAATCCTAGATACTGAGGACCCTCTGTTTTCTCTGAATGCAATTTTATGTCTTTCAGAGCACAGAAAATTGCATAATTTGCAAACAAAGAAACAGCCAAATGCCTTTCTTTTTGGTTCCTTAAAACATCCTGAATAATGCAGGGCCTCCTGCACCTCCCATGGAAAAACCACACTATAATTAGGGATCAGGAAGGGAAGAAAACTCTGTCAGGTTCCTGTCACAGGCATTTCTTTAAATCCCTTTCTGTTTGCCACAGAACAACTGTTCTGAGGAAAACACAAAATGCACGGAGGACAGTCAGCACCACGGCTGGGACTTTCTATCTCCTCAGCTACACATTTGGAGAGAACAGAATCAGCCTGCTAATACACTCCTTTTGCTGGAACATTCCTAATGCTGCAGCTTTCACTCCTGTCCCCCTGCCAGCAGAGTTTCCTTGGCCATGACCTCAGTGGAGTACTGGCTAAAATGGGAAAATAGCCAGAGCCCCTGCCATGCTGCTTGTCCCTTCCATGAATGGATCAGTAGCAAGCCCATGTGCAGAGGTATTTTTTGGCAGACATGGTAGTTCAGAGAGGGAATAGGGAAGAAACATCTCTTATAAGCACCTCTTCCCCCCAGATGTTCAGTAAATGACTGCTGCAGATGTAGCTATGCTCACTCAGAGGAAGAACTCATCTGTTCAAATCACGCATTCTCTCTACAAAATGCAGCTTCGTTTGCACAGGCTGCCTGCAATGGGAATTCTCCACTGCAGAGATTTAGCATCCCACTGAAAAACAGGCTCTGCAGCTCCCCATTTGTTTCTCTAAATTATGATAGTTAACAAGAAGAGTACCTTGTTTCTGTGTTTTGATACCTACTGTGCCAACTACATTAATTCACAGGATTTACCATTCTATGGAGGTGCCATTCTCTTCCCTCGAGAGCCAAACCTGGACTTGGTTTTAGCAGATGTGATTTTGTTTACCTGCCTGAAGCTTCATGGCTTGCTGTTTGCTTATATCCCCTGCAACCCTCTTGGCTTACAATTTCTGAAATGACAATGAGTTTGAACAGTATTCTCCAGCTCTCTTGGTTGGAATATCAAAGACTGCTCTAGCAGCATTATTTGTTTACTCTATGATTTAACAGCACTTTGGACATTAACCAGGCATTAACAGGTCACAGCAGATGAGACACATGAGGAGAATGGATCTAATCCTTGAGCTATAAAATAATGATCTGAACATCTTATCCATTTATTTTGCACCGCTAGAGATGTCACTTCTAAAGTGCCATAGTGAAAGCTCCTAGCAGCAAGTCAGAGAGAGATATCTTGGGAAGGGTTCTTCACAAAACCAGAAGTATCTGAATGCCAGATCCTCCAGTATTTCCATCTCTACACTGGTGAGATCCACAGAGATCATACAGCAAAGGCTGGAGCAGTCCCAGAAGCAGAAACTGGCAGTTGTGGAGTACCTTTTCCTGCCAGTAAATTTACACTGCCAAAGACTGAGCAGCTGATAATACACACTTACATGCCAATGGTTCACTCCTGCACAGCCCACTGCTTTCTGCTTGGGGTAGGGGCACTGCTTGGAGCCTTGCTGCCTTACTCTGTGAACAGGACAGACAGCATCTACCTTTCCCTTTTCCTGGAATTGAACTCCTGCTGTCACTGATTCAGCAGAGCATATCTGTCACCATTTACTGCCTTGTGTAACTTTTTTCTCCAGTTAAACATCATATAGTCAATAGAACCACTTGCTTTGTCTGAGCACAAAATGTTTCCCCTGCCAAAGCAACTAAATGCATCCATAAATATCTTGGAACTTCTACACCAGGCAGTGGTGACATCCCTCTTGATTTCAACTTCATATACACACTAATGGGGAGAGACAACCCTTATTGTACAATCTTGAAGATCAAGCCTTAGAAGGAACCCTCAAACATTCCTACCCCTTTTACAAGCACAGAAGCTGAGACACAGAGATCTTTCACGAATTATTGTGAAGCACAGATTCTGCTGAGGAAAAGAATCCCTCCATCCTAATATTCAGTCACTTTGTGTAACTACTGGACTTGTGTTCTTTTCTTAAAACTCACAGTACTCATGCCTGTGAAGGAAGCATCAACCTGTTTTACAGATGTAGAAAATGAAAGATAAACTCAAGTACAAGCATTGAAATGTGGATATCAGCCAATTTCCCCTCTATATATGCAGCTAAATATGTATCTGAATTCAAGAAGTGCTTCAGTTCAGACATTGAAGTTTGAAAATGCTGGTTAAGACTTCTCTGTATGGGGTTTCTAAATATATATATATATAAATAAAGAAATGTGTTCTGACCTTCATGGATATGTCCAAAAACATGAAGCCTTGGCTGTATTCGTCTCTGGACTGTGTTCAGCAGCTCAACACATCCTACCCGTTGCATTTTCTTAGGAACCCAGTCTAGAAAACCTTAGGAAAAGAAAGGAAAGCTTTAAGAGAAGACAGGTAATCCACAGAGTTGTGCTGCTATACAGCATTTTTGAGATTTCATATCTCGTGGCTTTTCACAAACAGTCACAGAAGAATTGAAATAGCAAAAACTGTGTCTGCTTTGGTAAGCAGAAGAAGCTTTATCCATTTTCTTCCTGAAGAGAATGAGGTGTAAAGAGCAGGAAGTCCAAAGCAAGCTTGTGAAGAATTTAAAAGGACAGTTAACTATTTAAAACCAGTCCTGAGACCTCCTTTTTTATATTGAACATTTGAACCAATGTAATGGAATCTGTGCTGCCAATACTACAGCTATATTGTTATCACATTGAATCCTCCAGTAGTGGAGCTCAGGTGAGGAATCCACTACATGCCCAAAAAATAACATCTTTGAGTTAAACCAATTCATGACACAGCAAGCCCCACTTGCCTAAACTGATGGATCTCAGACAGGAAGAGAAATTCATGTCTTTTGCAGAAGACGTATTTAAGTGCTTCATTTACTTGCACAAAAATTGTGTAAAAATGCATTTCTTGTGAAAATAGGCAGAAATGTTACATCAGCTTGCCTCTTTGTCTAAAAATACTGTAGGGGGAAGTTTACTGCCAGCTGAAGTCTCATGTTTCTTTCCAAGTAGTAGTATAAAGAGGATGTTGTATTGGAGTGTTTGCAACAACCAATTTGTTTTCTTTCTATTGTTCAGTCATTTTCATCAGGCTCAAATTTGGAAACCTAAAAGATAAAATCTTCCTGCTTTTATTTTGTTGTTCTGATATTTTCCCTGCATGCCTGTCATAGCTTTGCATCTCTTGGATTTGCTGCAGTAGTGTGAATATATTGTGATTTTAGCCAGAGGTACAGAGCCTGGACCTGGTTTTCATACATTTACTTTTGATGTCCACTCAAGCATGGCTAAGCAGCCAACCAACTGGTTTAAAAGACCAGAAGGGTGGTATTCAAACTCTTGGAAAAGCTCTCAGATTTGCTAGCTTCAGGGTAGGTTCACACATTGAGAAATACTTCTTTAGCTGCCAGTGCTTGAAAACTGGGCTCGGTAAACTATGAGGTTTTACCAAAATGGCAAAAGTTTGCACTTGTTTCATATCTACTCAGAGAGCTAAGTTCAATTTTCAGAAAAAAACAGTTGGGAATGAGGCATCCTAAGTGCAAAAAGAGGAAGTTCTGATCAGGGTCAAAGACCTGAAGATGCTGTTTGGCACCTGTCAGGGGATATAGAAAAAGAAAGCCCTGCTGAGCTACAGCCAGACTGAGGAATGCTAACTCCTGCTGAATTCACTTGTGCCATCAAAGAGAGGTCAAAATTCACTGGAGAAAAACAGTATTTATGATGTCAAAGTGAGGCCAGCAATTTCTCTCACGCTTTTTTTTTTTCAGAATAAACATATTATAGCCATAGGTTTTATTACTTCAATGATTTGAAACAGTTAATTGTCAAAATGTCTGCGGTGAACATAAAGCCAAAAGTATTTCCACTTCAAAAACTTCACAAACAAAAATCCATAAAATTAACTTCTCCATTAAATTAAGCATTATTTATGTTGAACATGTTTTTGTTTACATGCATTATCACCCTTCTGAAGCCTTCCCATATGTTTGCAGCTTATTATGTACACCTGACTACACAAACTAAGAATAATTGATTACACCTAGCTAACAATTAGAGTTCATCTTAGGGGTTTTTTAATGTTTGGTTACTTGAAACAGGTTTCTGCAGCTGTCAGGAAAGTATAAATCTTTGTCACAGATTATCAAGCAGACAGCTGCAAATGAAGACTTAAAGGTGAAATTAAATTTAAAACAAAGAAAAGAAAGTGAACTTTTGGAAGAGAATAAAAGAATCATAAATGGAGATCATTAGGAAACAAAAATATGCTGATATGGAAACGAGCATTAACACTGATCCCATAATCACAAATACTGTATTTCATAAGCTGTGAAATAGATTGCATATCTTTTTAAATGATAATAAACAGGTTATACTAATAAAATGGTCAAAAAATAGCTGGTTTAACCTTTTTTTTTTTTCTCATCCTCTGTGAACCTCCCATGTATCCCTGCCCTGTTTTCATCCCAAAGCACTACTCTAAAACAGAAGAGAAAAATTACTCGGATTTTTGTTACATGGTTATATGAAAAACAAAGTTAATTAACTCTTAATGGTGCTTCTGCATCTAAATCAGACCATTTCAGATCTATGTAATAATATAGTATTAATTAGTTCAGAGGGATGCACAGTCTTTTGAAGCGAGGGAATGAGAAAGCAGCACAAAAAATGGATGATGGACGGAATTTAGGAAGCCATGCTGGAGAAAATAAACCAAAACAGAATTTGCAAGAGGCCTGATTGCTATTTATGATCATTAGGAACAACTCCAGTGAGGTTCTGAGTTCCAAGAGCAAAACAACAGGAATCAGCTTTCTGGTTAAAATAACTGGCTGGGAGGGCCAAGGAGGATCCTGTCTCCCAAAAGATCTGTGGACAGAGCTGCACAATAAGGTGGTTCTGTAAGTTAAGCAGAGTGCTAAGTTCTTTGAAGTGTCCTATATTTGTTGCCATGGGTTTCAGGAAGACCAACAGCTCCTGCCCTCAGGCACAGGGTCCTGTGCCTGAGCTGTCTATTAATGCATCAATAAGAGAGAGACAAAGAAAGAGGAACTTCTAAAAAAAAAGGAAATTCTTGGGGAATGGTTGAAGATAAAGAATTAAAAAAAAAAAAGAGAACACATAGTGGGCTATGGAGATGAGTGGAATTCACATTACTCCATTACAATCACTGGAGATGGGTGGCCCTTCCTCCGAATTACTGCAATTATTAATTTACTTTTAAATTATTAAATCTATTATGAAATTTATTACTAAAGTCTGTTGAGTGCTAGCTCTGCAGTGCTCTTCAGGGGTCCTCTTCCTTCTGCTGATGCCTGAGGCTACCGGGGAGGCCTGGCTAAAGGTGGTTGAATCTCTCCACTTCCCAACATTAGATTTCAAGTGAATCTTCAGTCATCTGAAGGCTGGATTGTTTTACAGCTGATCAGCTGGCTTTAAAAGGGGTTTTCAAAGTGCTGAAAAAGCTTTTGAAAAGGTATTAAATATGACTTATAAATAAAACTACATGAAAGACACAGCATTGTGCCTTGGATCCTGGCAGGGATTACCCCCGTACCAATAGCTTGGAGCTGATATCTCAGGGCTGAAACACTTAATTTCTGACATCCACTTTTACAATACAGGCTCATATTAAAATCAGTCCATGGCTTGGCATGAGACTCCACTTAGGTGAAGAATCAAAACACACACCCCTAACTGTGAGAAACTCTGCTCACAAAGAACTACTTTCCCCCAGGATTAGTGAGCAGTGGAATGCAAACATGTCTTTCTAAAGAAAACAAAACACAAACCCTTTAGACACTTTCTCCTCCAAGCTCTGAAAGAGAAGAAAGGGTGGAAGACGAGGGTTTTAGCTTCAGGAAATTGGGGAATCTAAAGGTTTAAAGAAACCAACTGCCTTAATTTTGAACAAAGCACAGTAAGACTCAGCAGAACATTTGAGTAAATGCTTCTTATGTCCATTTATTAAATTAGTGAGAGTCAAACACACAGGCATATTAAATATATAGTATTTGTTGAATCCATTGAAAAAAAAGCTTAAAAACCTTAAGCTTTTACTAAATCTGGTCAAGTTTGTGTGATTGTATTATTTCTGTAGCAAAGGTAACATCAAAATTTTCTAGAAATATGAGAAATCTATTATAGATAGAGAGCTTTCATATCAGCTATATTAATATTTGGAAAATGCACATGCAAAACTATTTCTTTTTGATCTGTTCATGTTGCCAAATTGTAATAGAGATAAGGAATTCAACCATCCTGTCCAAAGAACAGGCAAACAATGGGAAGCATCTGAGTATATGAGGCAGAAGGTGCCCCAAGTCAGCATGATGAGGGCAAAAAGAGATTCTGGGTACTGTTGGTGGGAGAATGCAGTAGCAAGTCAGGGAGAAAGTGATAAAAAATAAGTCCTAATAATGCATTCCTCTTCAGACAGGCTCCATGCTTTCAATCTAGTAATTTCACTAGTGGCAGGTTAGACATGTGCATAGGAAAACTAGACTCTGCTTATTTATACAGCTCATTATGGCTTTATGTGTTTATGTTTTATTTTTTAAGCCATTATTTAATTCCCTGCCATTGAGCAGAGATATCATAGGTAATCATGAGCTGAAATCCTGGTGCTGCTGAGATTAGTATGCATGTTGCTTTTGACTTCTGTAAGTCAGGATTGCACTCTTTTTCTAAGGAAAGCCATCAGTTACCATATAATCATCTGAAATACACAGCTAAGAGCACTATTATTTTCTTACCGAGAGGTGGTCCATGTGTTATAAGAATATCTATTCCATCTGGAATAAGGTTCCATTTCTCTAATAGTGCTTGGCCTCGTGGAAGATTAAAGCCCCAGCCATAAAACCAAGGTTGCCTGCCAAGAGAGGAGGAGAATGTCTTCAGTGCTACTTCCATGTACTGGTTATCTAATTAAAATACTGAGGTTGACTCTTTACTACCATGGAATTTGAAGACACAAATAGCATTCATTTTCTTCTTTGTGTGCCCAGTAATCCCCTCTTTCCATACAAGCAGTGTTGTTTAAATTGTATGGCAAACATGTACAGTCCTCCCCGCTTTCAGTAGACAGCATACAGTAAAATATTCACAGTATTGCTCCAACTCCTTACAAGCCCTGGATACCAAGATTCCATGTGTGGATTATCACACTGACTCTCACAACATTTAGAAGAACAGCTGTCCCAGACACCTCCATGTGATTTATGTTTCACATTGGCTCCCAGCACGTTTGGCCCTTAGCCTATGACCAGCTGGGCAAGGACAGACCCTGGCACCATGACAGATCCTGCTCCAAAGTCAGAGACATCATCTCTGCTGCTTTGTTTCCCTAATTGGATACATCCCATCAGAACAAGAATGCTGCTGCTTCTCTTACACACAAATTTCTTCTGTCCTCTGGTGTGTTGACTTGCTTTTAAGTAAGACTTCCCATATTCAGGATTCCTTATCAGACAGGCATTTACATTTTTTAAAATGTACTTATGGAGCGGCTCATCATGGAGCAGCGGGACTGTAACACTGCCAGTCAGAACATGATTTATCTGTATCTTGCTATCCCATTGATTAAAAAACTATATTTCACAGCAATTATATCACAGTGTTAAATTATGTCTTGCTGACTAGGCTCTAATTCTAGGTCATAAAATTGAGGGGTGAGTTTTAGGTTGGAAGTTTAAATAATTTTTTGACTGATGTCTTGTGGCCATACCCATATTTGAAGAACAATGAACAGAAAGTTTTTCTTCCACAGACAAAAAGAGGCTCAGTTATTGATGACTGAAAAGCTTTTTTCTTATCCCCTGCCTTTTCATCACATGCCCTGGATAACCAGGGTCTTGAGAAACAGGTGTGCCAGGAAAAAAAAAGGTGAAACTTCGAACATCTGCTATCAGGACCAGAAATACATGTCCCAGCCTCCAGAAGCTGTGATGAGGGAGGTGAAGAAGGTCTGTGAAGGAGAGATGCTAACAGCACTGGCAGTGAAGCACAAATCTTGTTCTGAGTAACATTGGCTCAGGCCAAGGCAGCTGGCTAAGAAAAACACTGATCCCCACATCAGGCCACAAACCCACACTTTCCTGGCTACCTGTTCAACATTCCAAGCAGCCTTTCCTCACCTTCCTGATGCCAGGCTCTAGAGGGAGGCTCAGGGGAGACATTATCTCTCGAAAATTTCCTGAAAGGAGGTTTTAGCAAGGTGGAAATTGGCTCTCTTCTCCCAGCTAACAATCACCAGGACAAGAGGAAATGGCCTCAAGTTGTACCAGGGGAGGTTTAGATTGGATATTGGGAAAAATTCTTCACTGATAGGTCAAGTGGCTAAGTCAGATGTCTGGAAGCATTTAAAAGATATGTAGATGTGGAATTTGGGGACAAGGTTTAGTGGCATCAGGTTTATGGCTGGACTCAGTCATCTCAGAGGTCTTTTCCTAAACAATTATGGGATTCTCCTAACTGGTTTATTTTGCAGCAAGCTACCAGTAATGTTACCATGTGACATTGCCACACAGCAACCACACAAGCTCTGTGGAGCTGGATCTGCCCCTCCTCACATTCAACTCACCACTGAGATAAGGAAATTATTTCTACCATACAGGAATGCCTCGAAAATAAAAAAAAACCTTAAAGACTGTGAGATGCTTGGATATTGCAGAAGTGGGAGGCTTCGTAAAAATACACAGTGGTTGGTTTTTTCTAAACTCTTCATCCTTTCCTGCCTTGGGATTGCATTCCACACCTAACATGCCAAGCACATTTCTTCACCAAGAGGAAAATACACAACTGTTTGGCAAATTGTCTGGATGCCCAGGGCACGTTTTCCAGCAGCAAGAACTCACTGACAGAAAATATTTACAAGGGCAAATAGGTGGCAAAAGAAGTGTCAGCACAGTAAATCATGTGTTTTAAGTCATTGACAGTTTCAAAGGATGTATATCCCTGCTCCCACCCCTCTCTTGGCCAGGTTCTGTTGGGCAGGGACAGGATTGTCCCCAGGTCCCCAATGGGAAGCAAGAGGCATCAACATCCCACAGGTGTGCCAGGCACAGAATAGAAACCAAGGGGAAAGACCAAGTGTTTGCTCAAGAAGCACAGGCCAAAAACTCACAGAATAGTTATCTTAAGACTACAACAAAGCATTTTTAAAGAGAAATAATCATGACTGCCACAGGTCTCACCAGAAGTCAGCTTAATCCTGCTGAAATCCAGACGACCACAAACCACATACACAGCTGTGAGAGCCTCTGCCTGCTTCTACCAGGGCTGAACTACACACAGCCACTTTCTAAAAAAGCCCATTTCCCCTTATGAATAGGCATGATCTGCTTATTAAGACAAGAAGCACTTTCCCCATCCCTCCCTCCTCCCTCCCTCGCTCCCTTTGTGGTGACTGCAGCGGGGCTGGTAAGTTATGCATGCTGGAGCTGTTCTTTTGTGAAGGGGAGATGTTACAACTTGTGTGATTTGCCATTATGCTGTCTTTTGTGACAATCCCGAGATGGAAGGAAATGTCTGGAATATTTCTGGCAAAAAATAAAAAAATTAAAAAAAAATCCCAGGTCCAAGAAAGGATTCAGCGGAGGATGTTGGCATGCTTTACATTGGAGAGAAGAAAGACAAATCACACACTTCAGTGCCCCCACCCCCAAAGCAAAAACCATCTTTATAACCACATAGGGATTTTATAAATCCCCACATCCCTTCTTCTGAAAATTTATTACAAATCAACTATCTAAGTTTCTGAGTAGGGAAAAAGCCTTCTTCTCTAATACCCACTAATGAGCCCGTGACCTGGATATCATGCAAAGACAATTTTGTCTAAAATTTGCATTTATGATCGAACCTGAAAACAAAGTTAAATTCTTTATGTTGAGTACTGAATTTCTGTATTCCCAAGTAGTGCTTACTCAGGAAAAGTGTAATTATTTTTATAATGTATTTTTCAATAATATTTTACATTTGACAAAGAAAATATTGTCATGTATGCTCTACAAGAGAAAAATCCACTCTCCTAAAAAAAACCCAGAAACCAACTCAAGAAAAATTGATTTGGCAATTAAAGACATGCATCATTAATGTATTTCACCTTTGAAACGAAGCACTCATCTGTAGAAATGTACTTTGATTTAGGTCTTACCTTTTTCAAGTGAACAGTTTGAGTGTCTCCAACACTCTACTGAAATTCAACCGTTTTATTATTTTGATAAGAATAATGATTGTCTACATAGAAGACTCAAGGGGGAAAATATATCAGAGGTGAATTTGTTTACAGCACAATTAACCTTATGTTTAAAACATTTGAACAAGTTTTGCAGGCCAAATAATCTGCCACACAAAAAGGGCTGAATTATCAGAGTTTGTGCTAGAAATCGGATGTTGCTTTATGTACTGAATTTCTATCTTTCTGTTCTAAAGTAACCATTGGAATAATTTTCTTACAGAATGATAGTTGCTATGACAACCATAGCAAATTTTCCTTTTCTGAAACAGATGTCTCATTTAGTTGAAAATTAGAATGTGAAAAACCCATGGGAAAAATTAATTCAAACTTTAACAGAACACTGACTACAATGTAATCTCTTATAGGTTAACCCCTTAACATCTTTCTGCACTCCTATAGTAACCTTCTCATAAATTCTAATTAAACCAGTTTAACCTCCTAGGAATGACCTTCTTAGCTATCATTAGCACTTTAGTTGTCTTTGAAAGGATCATTTCTGTTATAATAGTAACAAAAAAAAGTCATGTTAAAAAAATAATGGTCAAACATATTACCTCCCTAATTATTTATTAGGGTTTTTTTTTCTTTTATTCAGCTAGTAGTGGAAAGAGCTAACATATAGCCCAAGAATTCTTTTGTCATTTAAATGGGGCTTTACTTAGTTTTACATGTGGGGATGCACCACATATATTTGACCTGCCCTTTATGTGAAAATGGAAGGTTTTTCATTTTTAAACCACTGGTACCCATCTCAATCTGACAGGCAGCAATACAAACAAGGGATACTTGACTGGGAAGAACTATCAATGCTCATGGATTTTTCTATTGCAAGCAATGAAAGACTGAAATTTGATTCTCCACTGCCTTGATGCAATGTAAACGTTTTAACTCAAAGAATGGTTTCCTTCCTTCCTTTCTTTCCAGCTCAAGGGGACTCTCCACAGTACCTGGGCACCCCTGCAAACAAACAGGGCAGAAAACCAGAAGGCACTCCCAGAAACATCCCCCGTTGGCACTGCCTGCAGGGCTGGGGGGTGGCAGCTAACACAAGAGCTGCAAGATTTACTGCAGCAGCTGCCTCTAGGCTGCCAAGCTGAGTAACACAAATCCTGCCACCAGTAGGCACCAATTACTCTCCTTGACTTCAAGGGAAAAGCCCGGTAGCCACAGGGAGCTAAAGGTGGTTTGACTAAACAGCAGCAGTGTTTCCATGGGATCAGTGGGCAGCATCTTGCAAACACCCTGGTAGCCAAAAGTGCAGAACTGAAGCACATTGTTCCTCCTAATTTGTATTTTTTCCTATAAATTTTTTTTTTGCAGCTGAAAGGCAAGTTCTCTCACTAGAATTCCTTTGCTTACCAAATAAATTTCAAAGGTTCACAAACACATGCAACTTGCCCCAGTCTTTTCTCCACAACTGTTGTCATTTTTGTCCTCCAGGAAAATAAACAGATATTGGTTGGTGACTGTCAAGAAGCTCAGTGGGAAAAGAATGGACCAAATCACCTTTCTCAGTCCTGCTCCTCTTCCTGAAAAAAGCAAATATTCTGTATTTAGAAGACTGGGCTACCCATGCTGAAAGTTATACTGGCAGGAGTTACTGGTCAAGGGCCATGGAGCACAAAAAGCAGATT